GTGACGAAAACTCTATAGTGTAAACGAGTTTAAAATTAAAAGAACCTACTTAAACGGTTTCAGCAGCATATCCTGTTGCCTGTTGTGTATTTTTCTTCTCTTTTATATTCTTTATTTGAACACAAACTTGGAAAATCGTATCTCAGTTGTGCCTCCATTTTGTTTATTTATGTACGTGGCCGGTCGGGGCGGGCAACAATTTTTCACTTGTTGCCTGGCGGGAAACATTGCATTTATCTGAAGTCACGTGACCACAAATCAGCCAATCACGTTTGGTGTTCACACTAGCTATATAACAATATTAATTATTATAAAAAAGAAAAGACTAGTCAAATGAATGCTGGAATATAGCTACCAAATTTTGTTAGCTATTGCTCTTCCTCGAAAGCGGAACGGTATTGTACCTAGCTTTTTATCATTAGGCTCTTTCATTATATCTGCTTATACTGAGGACAAAAATTATTGGTTAATTAAGGTTGCCTACCGTGGACATCTATATAGGATCAGGCGATGAATGAAACAAATGGGAGAATGTACAAAACTCGTGCGACTGGTGCGAGCATTTTTACCAGGATATCCGAGGAAACGCACATGACATGAATAGCAATATAAATATACTTCAAAGTCCATCTCCATGCCGTTGTAAGCCGTATATGCTGTTGCCAAGCTGTTCTCGATCTGTATTCGCGGTTTTCCGTTCCGCGATGGCCTGTTATATAAAATGGTTTAACTGCAGGCTGCAGTTTAACTACATTTTGGGTATTTTTAAATCGCAGTTAACCCTAAAATTTACGATTCTGATTGGACATGCAACCCTTATTTAAAGATGCTGCACAATCCGTTCTGCACATGCGTTTATTGGAGTCTCTTGTTCGTAATATAAGCAGTAAGCAGTTTAAGTTGAAATGCTTGACTGTGCTACTTTGATAATTTATATTACTGTGCAAACAGGAAAATATATAAAACTGTCATAACTTCGTTGATAAATTTCATTGTTTTGATAGAAAAAATGTAAACAAATCTGACGTGTGCTAACGGATTATACAACTCCAGTTTATAGTCAACTGCCTTTTTATACAATCGGTCCCATGCAGGTCATGTATGTAATATACTTTTCATTCTTTTGCAGCCCATGTAAATGTCACGAAAAAGATAAAAAATAACTCCCGAGTATACGACAGAAGGCACGCGTGCACATACTGCGGGCTGTTGCGTGCAAAGATCGAGAGACATCTGCTTACAAAGCACAAGGGAGAGGAAGAAGTTGTGTCGGCCTTGGGACATAAAAAATCTCGTCCGAGCGGAAAGCAATATTGACCAAGCTTCGTCTCCAGGGTGATTACCACCACAACATGAATACACTGGAGACGGGTGAAGGCGAGTTAATTACGGTAAGAAGACTAGGGCAGGACGAGACGAAGAAAAACGGCCAGGACTTTCTTCCCTGCGAGTTTTGTTTGGGGTTTTTCCGCAAGTGGGACTTGTGGAAGCACCAGGCTTCATGTCCACATAAACCCCCCGAGTCATCTCACCAACACAGCAACAGACAGGTGCAGCAATCAGCCAAACTGTTGATAGCTCCTATACTAACAGGGAGCGACAACCCAGTGCTTAATAAGATCCTAGCTTTGCTCAGTGAATCGCGGTGCGATTGCAGATATTGTGAAGTAGGACGACCTAATAAAGATTCTTGGGGCATTTCTTTATGTCGCCAAATCGTGGCCAGCAAGAAGTCAACATCCCATCACTCGCACTAAAGCTCTGGCATTCTCTATCGAAGGACGCTACACTTCTTCACAATCAAGCGATTCGTGCGAGGAATGACTTGGTGGCAAATGAGGTAAAATACTTTCAAAAATTGATGAGGTCGGGGTGGGAATATAAGATTCGCATCACTCCCTTTCCACATTGAAAGAACGGAAGATGAATGCTGTACAAGTCCTTCCTCTGGCAGAAGATATGCGAAAGCTGAGAAAGTTCGTCGAACAGGGGATAACTGAAAACTCCAGGCAACTGAAGCTATCCCCTTGCGAGGCTGCTTTTGGCGAGGGTGGCGATGCTCAACAAGAGAAGATCTGGAGAAGCATCCAAACTATTGCTTAATTGCTACCAAGGAATACCAGAGTGGACAAAGAGAGCTCTATCCCAAGTTCTTTGTAAGTTTGCATGGTGATAAAACATACAATAGTTTTTAACATATAAAGCTTTGCAGTAATAAATTTACATGGTGTCTCCATAAACAAAACTATTATAGCTCTATCCTGCTCGCATCAGATAGTTTTTTCCTACAGTACTGTTATTTTAAAATATAAAGCAACGAGGCCCGACGCCACGGGGGTGTGAGAGCCTCGCATTGCCGAGGCTACCCCTAAAATCGTAAGGTCTCTATTATTACTACGGCGAACCCGTGGTTGGAATATACAGCGGCTGTATTATTTAAATCATGCGTAAACGACAGAAGTTCGCACGGATTCTGAAAGCCTGGAATGTTATTTCGACGATTTGTGTTAGCAATATTTTGGTCAACAGGGCTAATATCTAGTTGTTTATTGCTCGGATTATTTCTGGCGTGTAGCGATGCAGTTAGCGACAATGAATTTGGCGAAGAAGGCTCGTGGGGAAGCAATTCGAATAAAGACCTTCCTAATTTTAACATTACTATCAACAAGTATGTATTTTTTTTTTTTTATAATATAGCATTTTAAATTCTGAACGCTGATTGGCTATGAGCCGTGTTGATATAACTCAATGTCAACACGAAAACATCGGAAAATTTCTTTCTTTATGTTTCTTTGTGCTATATTATAAAACAAATATAACACATTTTTCCGTATTGATATACAGTTATATCAACACTCGTGGAAAATGGGAAAACTCGAAATTGTGTGAAAACATTCCGCCCTTCGGGCGTCGTGTTTCCACACAATTTCTCGTTTTCCCAATTTCCACTCGTGTTGATATAACTGTATATCAACACGGAAAATGTTTTATATTTGTTATGTATGACATTATATAGCATGTATATTCCCGATAAATCGTCGCGACGCAGCTGCAAACGACGTTTATTTATAGTGAATCACAATATTTCATTAATTTATAGAGCTGTATATAAATCAACGGGAAGATAAGTAATAAATTTGTTTTGTGCAGTGTAATATGTTTGTAGTGCGACATGCGTGAACATGAATGACGCATCGCGCTATTGGTGTGGGGGTTACACTTTCGTGTGACAACGGTTAATAGAATGAGACCTATATATTAGCCTTGGTGTGACACATGAACAAAATAAAGAGAATGTATGTATGTCTATTGTCTGAAGGGCGAGTATTTCACACAATTTCGATGATTTCAAACTTTTACGAGCGTTTTATATAACTCTATATCAGCATTAAACCTTCTTCTGTAGTGCTGTAGTAACCTTCGCAAGGACTCCAGATTTTCTAAAAAAAAGTTTTTAAAAAGTTTAAAAAAGAAAAAAAAGGTTAAAAAAGTTAGATTTTCAAAAAAATTGGAGAAGGTTAGGGTTAGTGGTTAGTGTTAGAGGTTAGATGCCGCGAATTTATCATTATGATCATACCCAATTTTAAGAATTTTTTATCACTGCACATTTTTTAGCCGAGCTCTAGAAGCACGCCCTAGAAAATTTCTAAACACACCCTTATAATAATGTGTAACAACAAAGCAGGCTACAATTCATATTCAAAAATGCCAAAACGAACATACACTGCACAGCACTCAGGGAAATTTGGTGGCTCAGGACAAACTTTGACTTGCGGGCTCTTTTGATTCCATGTTCTACAACACTATGATTAGGGGTTGAAATATGAGGTCCCAGAAATGACCAAATCCTGCATTCTGGAAGTCTAGTTGACAGTTATATCTATGTATACTCATATAGTAAAAAATGTATCTATGTATACTCAATATTGTAAATATTTACTCATATAGTAAATTCAAAGGTGGAGCTCATGCTGGGAAATTTAACACCAGCAATTTGCTCCATTCTCTGTCGGGAGTACTCTGGATGCTTAGAACATTATGCATAGGCGTACCGGGCGGGGGGGCGGCAGCCGCCCCCCAGTTTTTTGGGCAGTCGGGCAATATTCGATCAACAGTCGGGCAATTTTGGTTTGCAATAAAAAAAAAATGGGACAAATTCTGTCAATTTTGTATAAAATTAAGTCATTTTTTTGCGAAATTTTGTGATTTTTCGAAAATTTGTGTCATGCTCCGAAAAAATTGGTTGTCCGGAAAATTTTTTTGACCCGTAAAATGGTACACTGACCGAAATTTTTTTGGCGACGGGGGGGGGGAAGTCGCCAAAAATAATTTTTCCGGAAAAATTTTTTTGGTACTAGTCGGGCAGAATCCCGAAAAGTCGGGCAATTTTCTTTCCGCCCCCCTAATTTTTTCCTTCCGGTACGCCCATGACATTATGGAATGGAATGGAATAGAACACGGTCTGAACTCTTCTGACAACCACTATTTTTAAGTATAGGGGCAGCGAGGCTGAGCATGATATCTAGAAATAATTACTGACGGTCATAATAACCTATTGTTTTCAGCGAATGTCGAGAAATTTTAGCGTTCGTCTGAAAAACGGGAACGGTCTTTTTTGCGGATTGTAGGGAAATTCCCAGGGGTAAATGTTTATACGGGCTAAAATAGCACACAGATCACAAAATAAATAATAAGACCAGAAGTCTCACTCGATGTCGGAATCTTTGATGTTGATGTCCCCGCGCATGTCGCCTCGCGCATCTTGGCCGTGTCTCGTTTCCAGTGCCCTAAACAAGTGTAATTTGACAAATTTTCATGTAAACATTGAGGAGTGAGAAAGTTAAAACGATACCAATCGAGTTTTAGAGCTTTGGTGACCATTTTAAAAGAATATATCATAAATTCAAAGGTAAGTCTATCGTACTGCATTGTCTTAAATGAATTCTCAGCTAAAATACGGCAATAAATGGATCATAAACAATAGATGTCGTATCTTATATGTAAGGGCCGCTGTAATTGGCGTAAGCTGTAGCGTGTTCCCTGCCATTGTCCATATATGTTTTTTCTGTGTTTTAATGTTTATTGGCAAAGTTAAATAAATAAATAAATAAACTTAGCTAAATTTACTGTTGACAACGAGGTTGACAGATCCATTGCTTTTTTGCCTTGAATAGCTTTACCATAGTCATTTTACCTTGAAATGTAGCTGCTGAGGATATCTCTAAGAGATTTACCAAGATTATTTGCACAATCTCACGATTTAATCATGCTGATAACATGAAAGTCCTTGTGCCATTCTATACTTGGCATAATCTCTACATCAATAGTTCACCAGTTCACTAATATAAATTCAATATATTTTTGAACCAGTCCATATATTATTATGCACAATGTAGTATAGTTAATTTGACCATATTTGAGAAGTTAGGGTGTATTTCATTACACAGACACTGCTGAATTTTAGGTTACATGCCATTGGATTGATATATAAAAAACACTTGTAAAACACACATTATCTTAAGTTCTTTGTATGTTTGCATGGTGATAAAATATAATAGGTTTTGTTTGTGGAAACACCACGTAAATTTATTACTGCAAAGCTTTTGATCCGTAAGCCCGGATCTTCATCAGTGCTAATAATATGTTATTATTAGCACTGATGAAGATCCGGGCTTACGGATCGAAAGCTTTGCAGTAATAAATTTACGTGGTGTTTCCACAAACAAAACCTATTACACCTTATCTTGTTGATAGAATAGTTATTTGCAGTATACTAACTGTTGGCATACTCTATTTCAGGACTATCAATTGTTTTTGTCACTGGCAGTCTTTGAAATACAATCTTGCTCTGTGGCCTTTACTGACAAGTTGGCCTTTACTACATATGTGGCACTGACACTTCTTTAATTAATGCACCAGTCAATGTAAACCCCCCAACCAGGGAGGGGCAGGGATTTTGACTTGGAGGGGTAGTAAAAGAGCGAAATTGTCCCCACCCCCAGGGACATCAATGTCCCCTGCATGTCTCTCAACCCCAGGAAAATAGTTTTGTATAATCATAGATCAGCAATAGAAAATCAAATTCATTTATGTTGTTGTATTTAAACTTTTCTTGTCAAGAAAACTAAAACAGCAACACAGGATATATATGTTAACCACTGTCCAAGTCTCCCATCATCGGGGACAAATTTATAATCAAAACTGACCACTTTCCCCGCTAAACCTTCCGCCCCTCCCCTGTTGGGGGCAGGGATTTACATTGACTGGTGCATAACTAGATGATTGCATGAAGCATTGCATGGAAGTTGATTTATAATTAGTTTATGAATAAACTCACACTTTCATTATAATGGTTGATTGAATATATCAAATGCATTTGATTGGTTGATGGTCCCTTAATGGTAATCAAATCTGAACCTATATAATGTCAATATACTGGAAAAGTATCAAATTAAATTTTAATTGTCAATGTTGTGGGAAGTAAATAAATCAAACAATTCTGTTTGTTTCAACTAACTAGTTCACTATCACTTTGGTTTTCAAATCAAAGAATCTTTAGCCTGGTTGAGCTTTTGAAAAAGTAGCTGCTTGATTAAACGCAAGATTATTTTACTCTGTCTAACGCCAGACAATTTCACTTGTCAATGGGAAAGTGCTGCCACTCAGTTAACTCAATCAGAGCTCAATGAGCAGCAGCACTCTCCCTCGATAAGTAAAATCATCTGGCATTAGATGAAGTGAAATAAACTAGTAAAGCAGGGTGCATTGGGGCACAATGCAGCTTACTGGGTTAACTGGAAAATATATTTATTAAACAATACACACCCTATACTTGTATTTCAATTCACAACATGATTTGGTATGCTTATATCTATTTGACCCAAGTACCTGACAGGAATGATATTTGAATCACACCTGTATTCATTGAACAAAGCTAATCTAAATGTACATTAATTGTACATGAACCATGTAAATGTAAAAACTAGCTAGAGCAAAAACACACCCACACAGCTTTGTTTTTTATTTTTCTTGAGAAGGAATAACTGAGACTACTGATAGATGATATTGCTTTAAAGAAACTTGCAGCTTTTAGCAGTTGTGTAAGGGCCTGTTTATATTGAAACTGGCTAACCCGCTAAGTGAGACAGCCCGGTAAGTGAGATCTCGCTGTCTAGTTATTTTTATAGTACAAATTATCATTTCTATGGACAAGCGGGCAGGCCCGGTTGCCAAGACCAGGATGGAAATTTCTCCACATAAACAATCATAAGCTGGCTAGCCCGGTTGCCAGGATGAAAGTTCAAAGATACTGCCGCAAGCTATTTTTAACAACTGTCAAAATAATGTCAAAACAACAAAATTGTCCTGGTAAGCAGAATGAAATTTTCTCAAATAAACACAAGAGAAATCATCCTGCTTACCTACCTTACCGGGCTGTCTTGCTAAGCGGGCCAACCCAGCTTCCATACAAACAGGCCCTAACAGTCTCTGTCAGGCAATTACAATGTTCTGATGTCCAAACTCTAAAGTATTATAAACAAGCAGAACAGACCACTTATTGCAAGTTGCTAGTATTAAGTCATCAACATGTGATCTCGACAATATACAGTGTATAAACTAAAGTAATTCAGCTTCTACACATGAAGCGACTTTAAACACTATCCTTACACTTTATCAATTCATTGAAGTTTGTACTTAAAAGACATTCTATTTGTAGTATTAAATCATAAGACATATTCTATTCGTAGTATCAAGTCACATCAGGATTTTATAATCTAGCGTCTTTGGACCCAAGTGATCTAGAGTTCTATCTTGTTAAAACCTATCCAAGGAAAAACAAAAAAGGGATATTGAAGTAATGGTGTTTTTGAGCCAAATAAATTCGAATATCCACAAGTATAAAAGCAGAACTCAGTATATACCGGAGACAAAATGGCATCATAGCGAACACATTTTAATGATGCTCAAATTTATATTCAGTGCGCTATATTTTTAAAAATATGACCCTGTTTGCTTTCTAAATACAACAAAATTACTGCTTTACCTTCTGTTCAAATAGTTCCACAGATAAATCGAAGTCACAATTCGTACTACTTGAAAAAAAAGCTGTTTTTACTGTAGAAATGACAACTTCCCAATATAATTTTCTATTGTCAACACTGCATTACACTTGTTTAGCTCGCGCATGCGCAGTATAAAAGATGGGACATGTTTCCGCTTGAGTAAGACTTCTGGTCCTATTATCTATTCTGTGATAGAGGGCCTGCACGGATGATAGGTTTTCTTGGTAGTGGCGTTCGTATAGAAACGCAGGCTTCTGATTGGCTTACACTCGTTGACAAAATTACTAAAAATAGCAAATGTCAACAACAGCATTTTGAAGAATTTGAACTTTATTAATTTTAATATTATATATTATAAGACTATCGAACAAATAAAACTAGAAATGGAAACCAAAAGCAATAGCAAAGCATCACAGCAAAAAGTCTATCATAAATGACTTGAATCTATCGCTTAAATCCAATATACGAAACTATAACAGTATTCTGAACCTCGTCTTCGGATTGACATCAGACTATAGTATAGTACATTTTGAGGTCGTCGTGGCTTCACGGATTATTCTCATTAGTGAGCAAGTCAGCAAGCGAAGGCATACAAAAGATACCCAAATATGTACGAATAATTATATTGTCGATCCTCGCTGGCATGTCATTTAGATAAATATATATCGTACATTAAACGTTATGTACTGTTTACTGTATATTAACTGCTGACAATTTCGTCGTCGATACGGCTTCCACTATTGGCACACTCGTGATTTCGAAGAAATTAATAAATACATGCTCATTTATCATTTATTTAGACCACAGTTAGTAAAATTTTAAACGTATTCGGTATTCCAAATCCCAATCTATCTGACCGTATTTTAGTAATAGCTTCAAAATATTCAGAACATTGTTCTTTCAGTGGCACATAGTACAAGTATTACTGTACATTCAAAGCCAATGGTAGTTTATTCGGCTTTATATTTGTATGTGTATTGATATCTATTTAATATTTGAAGAATTCTATATTTTTCCGAGTAATATATTGTGCGGCCCGCTAATGCTTTGTATTATTATTATTCATGTTGCACAATGTACACGCCTTGCGTCAATTTGACAGTTGACAGTTTATTTATCGCAGTCGACGCTGATTGGTTAGCGTTTAGCAGATGCGAAAAGGGGATGAATGAATAAAACGCATGGTTCCGTGCAGGCTCACCTTTCTCCCAGTGAGCCTGTTCGCAGGCTATATCGCGTGCCACCAGAGGTTCTCTTCGCCTCGCGTAAAATCAATACGAGCGGGAATAAGGCGAAAGATACAGAACCTCTGGCAACCAGGGTATCAGGAATTTAATTTCATAGAAATTTGACTCAAATTTTGACATCTTTTCGAACCGAGTAATGCCCGTTCGCGGGTTAGGTGCTGGTTCTTATCTGATCTCAAAATCATACCTGGATGGCAAAGATAGTATGCTGCGCAGTTCACACGCAGAAAAGGGGAGATGGTGGGCGGCAAGAAATCTCACGCCTACAAAGGGGCTCATCCCCCTATGCCGCTCAGTGAATTAGGGAGGAGAGCAATTTACTAGTCTAAAATGCTGGGACATATTTTGCATGTCGGTTCCAAATTGAGGTTTCATTGTCAGGTAACTAACGGTTAAGATACTTTCGTTAGTAATTGCAGGGGTCGCGGTACAGGGGGATATAGCCCCAAAGGTAAAATTGGGGGTGCGAGCCAAGCCATTAAAGTTTTCCACGGGGGTTAAGCCGCGACTAAAAATAGATTAAGTCGTATATGTCTTGGTTACAGAGCGCCGTGAGCTTTTTCAATCGCCAGCTCCCACCAAGTCATAGAAACTGGCCAAAACCAATTATGAAGCAACTTTGCAGAATTCTTGTTGTCCAAATTCTTCAATTCGGTGTCAGAAAGTGCAGGTAAATGCGAGCCTCGATTTTCAAATCTGTCCGAAGGAGCCCTTGTTCCCAGACTTCCCTACTTTTCAGTCCACAGAACTTTAGATATCATGAAGCTACGCTACTGCTGTAACAATTCGATCTAGCCTGCGAACAGGCTCTCAAGTTGGAAAACCGAACGTTACGGGGCAGATATTCAAATTCCTTAGTCATCGATGCAGGCTCTCAATTCAGCTTGAGAGCCTGTTCGCAGGCTAAATTCGATCATGTTTTATTAGCATGTCATGCTTGCACTTAACTGAAAATAACGGTACCCAACTTGGCTGAAAATTAGCCCCCCAAAATAAAACCCGTTCCGCCGCCATAACTCGAACTCGCACAACTCGAACTTCCCGCTAACTTGGACTAAGACGTTGGACATGACGTCATCAAAGTTTACTTCAATTTTTGAGAATCTTCTTATATTGTAAGAAATGACCACAATTTGAATAAATCTTCAACATGCTACGGAACTAGATGAAAAATTACAACTGCCTTTAACAGATTGCTAAGAAAGCACAACATTGGGTATTACTTGTAAATAAACTCTCTACGTTTTGATTGCATTTTAACATTTTAGTCTTATCTAGGTAAGCAGCGTCCACACCAAATACAATTACGGTTATCTTCATGAATCTACCAGGATCTTGATGAATACAGCGTGGTCTCTAATGTATTCACGAGTACGTAGAGTCGAATGTTTAGCAAACCCTGGGTTTCCATAACCTTCATTTTCGCGCCGCCTTGGTCTCTTGAACACATTCTGTCCTTCCGAAACTATTGCGTGCTCAATGTTTTGTCTTTGACTAAGGTCATCTTGTTGATCGACAAGAACAAATGTGAAACGCTTTGCAAAAGGCCAGGGTAGGATTCCATCTCGATCACTTTTCATTAACACTAAGTAAACACCCATGTATCCTGCGTAACCATATGGTGCTTGATTTAAATTAACAGAAAGCTTCATTTTGTAACCATGGCTTGTGAAAAAAGGTTTACTTTCAATCCTACCATCATCATTATCCGATTTAGCTTGAGCAAGCTTTCTTGTAAAGTTTGCTATCTTGAAAGTGTAATCTGGTTCAGGTTCTTGTTGATGTAAGGGTCGTTGAGGAAACTGCGTTGTCAGTGGAGCATGCGCAGCTCCAATAGCCTGTAACAAATCAACTTTTTGCCCAAGAAGCTTCACATCTTCATCGAACTAGTATAGAACAAGTAAAATTCCAAAATTTAGAAAAAGAACACTTTTAGTTTCTAAGGAAACATACAAGTACATCAACATTTCTTACTTGTCAAAAAATTTAACTGACCTTTGTCCTGAATTGCTTTAACTCACCTTTATGCTGCAATGTTAGAAAGTGCAAAATAGATCAGGTCACAATTGGTTTTTAATAGGTTAAAATCACCAAAAATATTAGGTTGCAGTAATAAACAATCGTAATAAAAGAATATATTCTCTAACTAAAAAACTGACCTTTGACTGGACTTGCTTCAAGTCGTTTTCACACTGGAATATGAGCAACAATTAAAAAGAAAACGTTAAGTTAGAAAAATAAGGAAGTGACCAAGCACGTACGAAGCCCAAAGATACCCAGTTATGGCGTAATATAATATAGCATTTATTGAAAGAGTACAATAATTTATTTTGAAATTTTCTTTATAATAGCCATTAGCACTATTTTAAGACCAAACTTTTAAAAGTACTAAATATGAAATGACTGCATACTGTTAATATCCACAATCTGAGGAAATCTTCGAAGTGCTGAAGAATGTCTATTGTCTAGATTTAATATTACGACTTTGACAAAAACACAGTGTAACATCTTCACTCTCAAATAGTTCGGCTGCATTTTAACAGTGAGAAAATTTGCAATGTTAATAATAATAATAATAATAACTTTATTAATATAACTTTTTCCTGTATATATACAATTTCAAATCTCACTTCTTGAGGTAATTTACAATTGGTTACTTAAATTAAATCACATATGGTTATATATATATTAGAATATTATACATACGAGTTATTATTTTTAATTAAGATCTGAATTTGTTCAACTATAAAACAGTACTAATTATTCAATAGTACTCTAATTCTTAATTGCTCTACTATTAAATTAGAATGTTTACTACTCTACAGTATATAATAAAATCTATCTAAAATGCCTAATAGAGTTAATACTGTATATTAATCATTGTATAGGACTAATTAATGCAATCGTTCTTTAAAAATGTTTTTGTTGAATGTGTCTTAAAATTGTTTTCATTTCTAAAATATTAAAAAACACATTAAAAACTTTAGCGCCCGAGTCTTGAAAAGTTCCAACAATTAGCTGAGTGGTCAAACACTCAAACTATAAGTTTGCGTGAATGGTAACTTTCCTGCATTCAAGTTTCATGTATGATGGCCATCAACTGAGTCAAGGACAGGTTGGGGGTGTTATGAGTTTATTAAACTAAATGCATGCCATGTAGTCACGCCGTCCATCGGGGTTGGAAGCGGATTATTTTTACATTATTCCAATTTTGTTTCAAATTTATATTCTTTTTTTTCACCCTGCTCGGTTGCTTTGTTCTTATCGGGGAATATATTCAATATTCCCCTCTTATCAATTTCCGTTTAACAATCCCCTCTAACATTCACCTGCAATGAATGTCTTTGCAGCACAAAAAAATGAGAAAAAACAACATCACGAAGGCAATACGGCATTGAGAATTATTTCTATTCTGACTCATTAACGCGACCTCGCAATGTGAAAAATAAGTACGTTATTTTGAGGCACCTCTCACATATTCCCTCGTTGCCTCAAAATAACCTATACTTATTCCTATCATAAATATTCATTTTGAATTGTACTATAGTTTAAAAACAGCCGTCAACTGAAGCTGAATTGCGTGATTTACAACTAACCATGACGATTATAATTACAATTATAAGCATTATAAATATTGTAAACATTATAGGCATTATATAAATGTTAAAAACCTCTAATAACCCATGTACCTAATTATATGTTACAAGCTAGTATACTAAAGGTAAGACTATTAATAACTAGTATAGGTAAGTAAATGTAGGGGATAAAAGTGCTCTGGAATCTCTTGGTATTTGTAGAGAACAGATTGAAGACTATATATGGGCTCTAAAATTGTACATTGCATCGTATCTAGCAGGTAGAAGATCGATTAATTTGTATCACTAGGTATATTCTTTGCAAACGGACACCGCTAATTTTTAGGTTCAGCAAATTCTGGCATATCTTCAGAAAGTTAAGCGCGCAAATTTATACCATAATTAAATTTGGTGTGGATGTCTACCTATATAGTGGTTATTTTGTTATTAAATCATGAAAGGAAATTATTCTAAGTACTCGAATGTCTGGATAATATAGGGTACTATACTACAGTATAGGTAAGCGTCCACACCAAATATACGTGTAATTATGGTTATATTTTTCATGGCTCTACCACAATCTTGACGAATACAGTGTGGTCTCTAATGTATTGACGAGTATGTAGAGTTGAATGTTTAACAAAGTCTGATAATCCCCAACCCTCATTTTCGCGCTGCCTAGGTCTTTTAAAATGTTTCTCTCCTTCTGGAACTAATTCGGCCCCAATGTTTTCTCTTTGAATAAGGTCATCTTGTTGATCAACAAGAATAAATGTGAAACGCTTTGTGAAAGGCCAGGGCAGGGCTCCATCTCGATCACTTTTCATCAAGTGCATGTAAATCCCCATGTAGCCTGCGTAACCAGATGGTGCTTCATTTAAATTGATGCCAAGTTTCATCTTGTAACCATGACTGCTGAAAAACGATTCACTTTCTAGATAACCAACATCATCGAACGATATCGCTCGAGCTAGCTTTCTTGTAAAATTTGAAATCTTCCAAGTGTAAGTTGCTTCAGGTTCTTGGTACGGTGCGAGGTGCGGAGAAAAGTGGACTGCTTGTCGAGGATGCGCAGCTCCCGTGGTTCGAGACATTAATATTTCTTGTCTGAGAACTCTTACATCTTCGTCATGCTAAAGCGATTTAAAATACGGACCTTGAAAATCAACTTGATACTCAGTGTCTCTCACATGCAGGGTTTTCACCAGGTGAAGGGTCCTCTCCTGGTTACTTCAAAATATATACACCTGACAATTGCAATGCGATATTTGATTTTTTTGAAGCGTGCTTTACAGAGATTTAACAAATCCGGCTAACATTTAACGTCGTGAGTATGCAATCCTGTAAGAACTTAAGGACACGAAGTTGGGTTATAAAAAGCATGAACGGAAGGGTTTTTGCAAACTAGCCTGACACAGACTATATTTAAAAGATTTTTCTCTAACGCATGCAGACATTCTTATTTGTTATCAGAATTACACATCTGTTGGTTAAATGGTCATTTATATAACTTAAGGCAAGTGATTCTCCCCCTTTCTTTGCATAAAACATGAAACATAAAAAATATAAACATTACGACGCCCAATTACACTTCAATTTCTTAAGCCTGGTTTTCCTAGAGTCACGATCTTTCTCAACGGTGTTACAAAATTAGTTTACATGTAAACCACATATAAATCATAAGTATTCTCTAGTTATAATCACTCCACGTATTTTCCAACTGTTCTAAAATGTTGTATTTCGGCGGATGAGAAAGATCGGGACTCAATTTTACGACCGCTGCCAGACTTTAATAGTAAAGGTCCAGAACGTTAATAAAACAGCCAATGAGAGCAAATTTTGAAAGATATGTAGACCAAATAACTCAAAATGTTATACCGCTTCTAAATATTTGGAAAATTTAAACTAGAATCAAAGTTATCGGTCAGTGAAAATCGAAAAATCGCGTCGCGTTGTCGAATCGCGCGTCCGGTGTGTCTGGATCTTAAACATGCAGATGTATCTGGATGTAAACAGGCCTTAAGAAACTGAACTTTGGCTTGAATTCTTCTGCTCGTCATCACAACATATAGAAAGTGTGGTAAAATTAATATCCTAACTGGAAAAAAGTGAACTGACCTTTGACTGGACTTGCTTCAAATCGTTTTCACACTGGAATATGAGCAATAATGAAAAAGAAAACGATACGTTAGGAAAATCATGAAATGACCACCGTACGAGGAATTCAATGTATTTAGTCTAAATAATGAATTATTAAAAACAGCCAGCAGTTATAACAAAACCAATTTTCAATGCCTCCTGGGATGTTAGTATAATATGATTATGAATCATCAATTAGAAATAGTATGAAGTCAGATTCGATCATGCATGTTAGAATACATGACAGAATAAATATAAGTTAAACGGGGTTTGTACAATGTCGATCACGTGCAAGATCAGTGATCGTATCCCTGGGACGAGTATGAAGTCATAATATAGACAATTTCAGGGCTCGAAATAACGTTCCCAACGTTCCCGATCATGGTGATCGGCAATCACGACTTTTTGCCGATCAAATAAAAATTTGGCCGATCAGGAGCATTTGCCCTCATTTCTTTGAAAAAATTCTAAATATGCCATTAAATACACATCTATAAAAGAGGACGTTTAATAACTTCATTTCAAATTCGAGTTTAAACAATTAAATCTATGACATTTGTGGACTTATATATGCAATACTGACAATACTAATAGTGTAACTACATTTAACATGTATTACAGTAGTAAACTTTAGTTTAATTAGTTTTAATTATAGTATACTGTAATTGTATTTTTTCACACAAAAGCAAGAAACACAGCAGTTCACTAAAACTTATTATTTAATATTAAAAGAGAAAATCCTAAAAAATCCTACTCAAAAAATCCTATCAATTTGAAATTATTATGACAAAGACATTCATCGTCGTGGTTCGGATTGCAGACTGTTGAAGCGGAGACGACAATACTTCATAGCATTGCGGCCTGTCGTATGACTCGTATCAACTAAACAAGAGTTTTTCGCGTGTTTTTGAATGTGCTTCATGTTATTTTTATTTGTCTTTTACCGCGTACAGGTAAGCATGTCTTTCAGACAATGGTCAAATTACTCAAATATATTTCTTGCCGATCAAGATGAACGGCAACGTTGCTTTTTCGCCGATCAAAAACAATTTCCTGCCGATCAATGATCGTTGATCGGCCGTTATTTCGAGCCCTGCAATTTAGATCTTGAAATGTGGGTGGACGGGAGAGAAAGGGGACGACCAAATAAAAACTCAAAACTGACAAATAAAAAATCAAAACCAGCTTTTTTGACCTGATCAGTCTGTCAGACAATGAAAATTTACGCGTTTTTATTGGTTAAGCCAATTTCACGAGATTTATTATTAATCAATATATTTAGCAGATGCGGCCAAGTTGACGTTTGTGTGAGGTTTTATTAATTTTGTAAAACAAAGCCTGAGGTCATGAAAGAGCGAATTTATTGAAAGAGTACAATTTATTTTCAGGTTTGTTTTTATAAAAGATATCTTGCATTATTTCACAGGCTAAACTTTTACCAAATATGAAATAGTTTCAAATATATATACTGTTAATAATCACAATCTGAATAAATTATGTTTAGCATTCTCAACATGCTGCCGAATGTCTAAATTAACAATTGCAACTACCTTAGAATATTAAGAGAACACAAAATTGTGGATGCTCTGGAAATCGATAACATTTTTAATTCTGCAGTCACAAGAATGAACGTTCAAAATGCAAACTATTTTAAGCGCGCAAAATCTGGATTATATATTGTACTATATATTTCACACTTGTCAAAAACCTTTCTTTTACCTTTGTCTTGACTTGCTTCATCTCATTTTCGTGCTGCAATATTAGTAAAGATGTCAATTTCATGCATGCAATGCATGTGGTGGTGTAGATGGCTTTACAGTCATCCATGGCAATGGAAGTAGTCCTAAAAGATTCTAGCAAGTCATTTGGTGAGTTCCTTGAAAACTTGATAACTTCCCCTATAATGCACCCTTTCGGTGATTACGTGATTTGGCCTGGGAGCCTCGCTCTCATATGAATCATGAGCCAATCACCTTGCATAATTTACACTAATGAGAGTGAGGCTCCAAGAAGAAAAAGTATGTGGAAAGAGTGTATTTATAAACGTCGGGTAGGAATGCACCAATCCCCTTTGGTTTTGTTGCAATTGACCAATCATAAAGAGACAGGAAGTGACTAGAAATGATCAAACACAAAAGGTTGCGAGTAATTGGTCCAATATGTCTCAAATGAATTGGTTTGTGTAAGTATATGAACTAGCTGGTAGAATATTTTAGGAACACTTGAAACATAGGTCAATATCATTACTATTTATAATATAAGATAATGTACAGTACATACCATGTATAGTACAGTAGTAGTTACAGTACCTTCAATATAAGTTCTTTAATATCTTCTTCATGCTATTAAATAATAAATATGAAAATTAAAATATAAAGTCAAACAGATGTACAGTAAAATAGATTCAATACAGTAGAATACTAGGGTTAAATCACGAGCATGGTGTCACCATGCATAGAAGCAATGCCAAAATTACTAGTTACAAACCTTCAATTTATCTTGTTCATGCTATAATTAATTTAGAAATATGAAAATTAGACATGCAGTATTACTAGAAATTCAACTAACCATTATGTAAAATAGACTAGTCTAATAAAGTCAGTCCAACAGAAAATAAATCACCAATTAATATCGCCACCTTCTTTTCCAAAGTTGAAACTTTGAGCATGAGTGTTTCAAGTTTTTGCTCAAGTTTTCCCACATCAAGTTGATGAACATTATCACCACTGCGGATCAGAAAGGTGCAGCTATTCTGATGATCCTAGATGGAATAAGTATAGGTAATAGGATGGTTTTCAATGCATATCAATTTCGAAAACTGAATAAACAAGATCGTCTTACAAAAAAATTCCACTGTTAAGGAGTTTATACAGGGTGTATAAAACAATGAGACCTTTAGAAATGAAGCTAATGTTGGAATTTGAATGCATAGAACTATATGCTGAACCCACGGGTGAGAAAAACCAGAACAGAAGTGAATTTTATGCATAACGAAGTTATTTAATTAAAACTTGAAATTGGTTTCATCCAACATATTAATTATGAGCTGATTAACAGTAAAATTTGTCCCTCTGTGGTCAGTTGAACCATTTTTATTCGAACTGATGATATGATTACTTAGTAATTTATTTCTTATTTTTATTTCTCAGGGATATTCAAAAGGTTAATTTATTTAAATTCGCAACGTTTCGGACATTTTGAATGTCCGTCTTCAGGCGACAACTGTTGTTAAATTCAAAAAATCTTTTTGAATTTAACAACAGTTGTCGCCTGAAGACGGACATTCAAATTTTTTGAATTTAACAACAGTTGTCGCCTGAAGACGGACATTCAAAATGTCCGAAACGTTGTGAATTTAAATAAATTAACCTTTTGAATATCCCTGAGAAATAAAAATAAGAAATAAATTATGAACCGCAAAGGTGAAAGTTTTAGAAACAAGATTAATTAGTAATTTGACAATTTTTATGCAGTGATGCTCATTCAAATGATTAGAAAGTTTTCCTTCTTTATAGTTATACAGTACACTCTGTATTTCCATAGGAATTCCTGTAGGAATCTCTATAAGTTAGAATGCTTATAGAAAATTATATACCTATAGAAATTCCAATAGAAAACCCAGATGTACTATCAGGAATTCCTATAGGAAATTAGGATTCCTATGGCTATGGGAACTTTTCGTAAACACGCAGCATGCATGCATGCATGCATGCACAAGTCTTTCAAAGACTATAATCTAAAATCTCATGACCACATAATTAAGCCACATAATTTTATGTATAATTTCCAGATTGTAAGAAAACTCGCACAACATGTACAGTACTAGTCACATGCAAATTGCCAAAATAAATAATTCATTCACTCATTTGAATGACACAACTTAATACAAGTTCAAAACTGCATGTCAGAATTCAAACTTTACATCAACATGTCTTTTGTTTGGGCACTTGCTATGGATTACTTTTTTGGCAGTGAATTACATTTTTTTGCTCGTACTGTATTTCAGTAAAATTGTACATACTAACTCTTAGCCAATCATTCATTTTTTCATGTATTTGTCAATTAAGGAGAAAGTGCTGCAACTCAATGGTTTAAGATCAAAATAAGACAATTGTACCTGTAAAAGAGTACTCAGACACCCCTGCCAACTACATCCTTCATTACAACAATTTACTTCCAGCTGTTTGATCATTCTTCTCGCAGCATGGTCTTCAAAAATCTAGAAATTATTTTGCAATATTAAAGAGCACCACTAATAACCAGCAGATAAAATATTGCAAAATTTAATTTAATATACAACATACCATTGCATGAGATATTTCAATTCTACAAGATGGACATCGAGGATCTGCCCTGTTGAAATATAGATTTTAATTTGAAACAGCCGCCTTAACCCATTGAGGGGCAGCACTCTCCCCTTGTAAAATTATCTGTAAAATTCTCCCCAAGTAAAATTGTCTGGTGTTAGACAGAGTAAAATGATAAAGTAGGGCACATCAGGACGCATTGCCACTTAAGGGTTAAACATAACACAACTTTTTGTGAAACACTACATACATTTATTATAGCAAAGCTCTTAATCCGTTTACAAGCTTGAATCTTCATGATTAATAAATATATGTGTAAATGTATATATTAGCATAATTAGTTATTCAAACTGTATTGCATGTGCTAAGACGTGACACGCCGAACTTAGTCATTAGGAATTGAGAACTAGACGTATGAACAACCTTTGGAAGCAGTTTAAACAAATATATAAGTTATCTAGTTAGAAATTCAACTTGTTTTTATTTGATTTTAGCTTAGCTTAATCTAATATCTATTGCATTAACTTTGTAGTTTACGAATTCAAATTATACAATTAACGAGAAACGACAAAGTCTACGCGAATTCAGTAAAATAGTCTAGACAGAAGCCACGACACCTCTTGAAAATTGGTGATAGATCTTGAGAGTCGAATCGCTTCAGCTACAATATGTGATAGTGGTATTTTCCACATATTGGAAAGTATTAATTTGTCTGCTTTTGTCTTTTCTCATGAAATATTAATACATATTGAATGCACTTTATAATTAAATTAAAGTTTAATAATGAATAATGTTGAAATTTAATTATACAGTAAAAACTTAATAGAACCCCTTGTCTTGTTTACAGTTTGCTTGACAGACAAATTCCGGTTATGCAAAAGATTGTGCGGTTCACCATATTATTTTGTGATTCAACAATGGAAATTTACTTCAGACTTGAGAGCTTTTGTAGACCCTTTGTACTGCAAAGTTTGCCTGCCAGGAAACGTATTAACAAGACAAGGAGTTTAATATTACAACTCATAGAAACTCTCTACTTAGAAATATATTTTATGAAAATTTATATAAACTAGCGAAAGTGAAACTTACTTGAGAATATCGTCAACGCAGAGGGAACAAAATTGATGTCCACAATCTCGCACTTGGACGGGATCTTTCAAGACTTCCAAACAAATAGCACATTCCCAAGAATGTCTTGCAGTATTCTGGTCTTTAAACCACTTCAATGGGTAGCCTGAATGACCGTTTGTTGCCATTTCAACACAAAAATTCAATCGGGAAGCACACTGCTTCGACATCAACGAAAGCAAAAGTACGCTTCGTTCTTTGTGTAGAACTTCGTGCGTTTCGGGAATTATGGTAATTTAACTTGTAACTTCCGTTGTCTGCAGTGCGACCATATTTTTCTAGCGGTTATTACTAAACTTTGGGTAGATACTTCATTTGACCCTTATCAGTTTTTGCACCGTAATAATGGGCAATTCCAACAAAATCCATCACCACAGCTAGAAAGAGCATGTTAAAATTAATAAAAGTGCAAAGTTTGGTTGCGAAATGTTTTAAAATCAGGAAAATATAGCCCTACGAAATTTGAAAAATTTGTATTAATTTTTATTATATAGTACAGAGTGAGATACTGAAAAATACACAGTGAGATATTTTCCATATCTTCACTAGTGAAGATATCGATCACATGACTTTTTCCAATTTGCTCTTGAATTGAGCGTGAAATTTCACAATTTTTTGCTTGGGACTATCATAATAAACAGAACATTACACGGTGGCTTGAAAATATGAGTTTTATCTTCTCGTGTTAAAAACAATATTTTACTCACTCGCTGCGCTCGTTCGTAAAATAGTTTTTGCCATGCACTCGAACATAAAATCCATATCTTGTCCGTATTACGCACGTGAATTTGCACCACTTTCGGCCCAAACTGTGGCCCAAATGTGGTGCATTTATAATATTAATTATTAGTATAATTACATAGGTGATTATTGAAAATTCTCCACGCTGATTGGTTGTCGTTGAGGTGCAACCTTGTTCCCAGGGCCTTTTTTGAAAATGCGCGAGGTGATTATAACGCGATAATCACCTAAGCGATTTTCAAAATGGCGACAGAAGCCGTTTTGTCAATTAAATGAGGAAGGAATGTGTATTTTTATTTTGTTCCAAATAATTACCTATGAAATTATACTAAAACAGTTATTCACCTCAGGCTCGGTGATTATCGTGAATAAAAACCTCGACTTCGTCTCGGTTTTTATTCACCGATAATCACCTCACCTTCGGCGAATAATTGTTAAGTATACATTGCAGTTGGTAAAGGCAATTTGATTGGCTAAGAGCTTACTGTTAAATCGCGCAATCACGCAACCTACAGAATATTCAGTTTATATCTGCTAGCAGATAACGGAGTTACCTGCAAATGAGCCTGCGATGATTAGCAAGCGGTATCTATTTAATAATATAGCATTTGTAAATTCTGAACGCTGATTGGCTAAGAGCCGTGTTGATATAAGTCAATGTCAACACGGAAACGTCGGAAAATTTCTTTCTTTATGTTTCTTTATGCTATATTATAAAACAAATATAAAACATTTTTTCCGTATTGATGTACAGTTATATCAACAATCGTGAAAATGGGGAAAACTCGAAATTGTGTGAAACACTCCGCCCTCCGGGCGTCGTGTTTCCACACAATTTCTCTTTTTCCCAATTTCCACTCGTGTTGATATAACTGTATACCAACACGGAAAATGTTTTATATTTGTTAAGTACTGTTTAATAAACGAGCAGGAGTATTTTATTAGGTTTAAAGCCACGAGCGCGCAGCGCGAGTGGCTTTAGACCTAATAAAACACGACCTGCGAGTTTATTAAACGGCTTCAAACACGACTACAAATTCAATAGATATATACTGCCTTATTAGTATTCTTTATATAAAAATACTAATGAGGACACGACTACAATAGATACTGCCTTATTAGTATTCTTTATATAAAGAATACTAATTAGGAGTGTTTTATCAGGTTTAAAGCCACTGCACGTGACATATTATGGTAGACATGATTTGCCAATAAGCTTATGAATTATTAATGAGTGTTTGAAATGTATAATAAAACAGTTATTGAATTCGGTTTTTGCGATATGCAAAAATATCAAGGTCTCTTGATAATTCCGCATATCACAAAAACCTCATCCAATAATTGTTAATTATTATTTATTATTATTAATAATCATCATTTATTATTATTATTACTAGTATTATTAAAAATAATTTTCTAAGAATAAATTCACTGAACAACGAGTCAAACACACTATTTACTTTTACACTATTTTTACAAAACATGTTGCCTTAAATTTAAGTTCATGTTCTCAATTAACTTTCTTTTATACGGGCTATAGTTATGGTGCTTTATGGCCCGATATAGTACATTATCAATGAGGTACAATTAATAATTTCAGTGTAATGCCTAATGGTGTTTTCACGGTTCGATCAGGACGTTGATGCGTGCAAAATTGTTTCTAATGTACTGTCGAGTACCTAGAGTTAAATGTTGAACAAAATTTTGATATCCATAACCTTCATTCTCATCTTCATGTGGTTTCATAAAGGCCCCCTCCCCCTTCGGAACTAACGTGGCTTTGATGTTTTTTCTTTGACCAACATCATCTTGCTGATCAACAAGAACAAATGTGAAACGCTTGTTAAAAGGCCAGGTCAGAGCTCCATCTTGATCACTTTTCATCAATATTAAGTAAATACCCATGTAGCCTGCATAACCGGATGACGCTTCATTTGAATTGATGCCAAACTTCATCATGTACCCATGACTGCTGATAAAAGGATCACTTACAATTCCACATTTTGCTTTAGTAAGCTTTTTGGTAATAAGGTTTTTCGGTATCTGCCAAGTGTACGATAGTACAGGCTCCTGGCGAGGTAAGATTTGCTGCAATACATGTGGAGCATGTACAGCTCCCATGGTTCGTGACATTAAGAATTCTTGTCTGAGTGTATCATGCTAGAACAATTAAATGATAACATTTGTTATGTTTTACCAGGCATTATAAACTATAAAATCCTCTAAAACAAAAAAAGTTTAAAGCAAAATTACCGTAATGCTATAATAAAACAATCACTGACCGGTCAAAATATTTCACACTTATCAAAAAGTTAAAATTTTCTACCTGCAACTTGACTTGGGCCATCTCATTTTCATGCTGCAATATTAGAAAAGATATCAATTTGAAAATAAAAATGTATTTTTAATGCATTGCATATAGCATTAATATATGGCTTTAACAAGAGCAGTGTTGAAAAAATGACCAATTAAAACATGCAAAATTAGTTTCTGCAAAATGTTACTCATTATATCTTAAAAACCTAATTAACTATGTTACAAAACTACAAAAGTAGTTATTACCATGTAGTAATTACCTTCGATTTAAGTTCTTTAATATCTTCTTCGTGCTATTAATTATATGAATAAATATGAAAATAAGTCAAACACATATACTATAGAATATAAATTCATGGCTATATTAATTTTGTCATAGAAGTAATCAAATACCGATTTTATTTGTACAAATAATTACAAATAGTGCTAAATAATTATCTTGAGTTTCAGTTTACGTTAAAAATTATCACAAAAGTAATGTCGGACAAAATATCAGTGACGGTCAGAGGCATATGTAAG